CTAGAACGAATAAAGGTTGCGCAATACTGTATTTAACAATTGTTGGATGATATAAAAAATTATCCAGGCAGAGGTCAATGGTATCTGCCGAAGCCTAAGGTGAGCCCTTGCATGTAAACATATACTGTAGTAGCTATCTGGATTGACCAAAGGCAAAGATCAATTTCCGTAACAATGTGAGCGTTAGAATAGAAATCTTTCCTATATATAGCTTTACATAAACTATAGTTATGATTATTGTGTAAACTGTCTAGGTACTTCTCAGCTTCACCCAACTCTCGGGCGAATGCTAGTCCTTAGGCATGAACACTGCCTGCTTAAGTTCGGCAAGTTACTGTAATTCGGTAATTCTGGTTTCGCCTATACGTTGACTATTCGCTCATACACAACTCGGCCTCATTATCTAAAATTGTTTATATATACATATTAAAATTTGCCAATCATAATCAAATTATAACTAAATTCTGTATTTTTGGGTTTCAACACGTCATATATTTGCATAATTGAACTCAAGTTGAGGGGTCAATCATTGAACTGAGCCTCAGTTTAATGATTGATCCCTCACTTCAGTCAAATTTACAACAACAAAAAAAACAAAATGGCTGTCAGCGAATCTGACGTAAGCGAATTCTCCGACAATTGCAAAAGCCAATACATGCAAAACGATATAAACAAAACAAAAGCCGTCCTTTACCCTTGGCACAGACCCTTGACCTTGGACGTGACGTCATATGAAACCCGAGAATTACAATGCACTGTATTCAGCACTAACCTCTTGATCAGTAGTTTTAACCAGTAGTACTGTATAACGCTCGGCTTGACACTTTTGGTAAAACGATGTTAAGCTAGGAAAATAAAGTTTGCAAGATAAATACCACACTTCAACAAAAAAAGTCACAAAAGCGAGTTCTTGACCTAAACGACATTCTCAAACCCTTTGACCGAAACGGTAAGTTTTCAAGGATTTTTGAAAACTAAGAAGGTCCCATCAAACTGAAATTAACATTTCAATTGTTAACTCAGTCTATATCTTCTTCTACTAACTGTATATCTAAAATTTAAATTATTCAGTCAATTCATACTTTCAATTCATACTTAAAGTAAAATAAATGAAGATAAATAAATTTCCTTTATAAATTACAGTAGAAATACGACATGCATGCAGCAACCCCTTTCGAACTTGCCAAACAACTACCGTTCCAACATATATTGCTTCAAAGCATGAAGTATTTTCCAATTAAGTGCAATATTCAAAATTTAAAATTTTCAGTTTCAACTTTGTATCAGACAGTGCTATGACGTTGTACATTAGGCTTAATGATAAGGAATAGGAAAAGGCATCAAGAAATTTTTCATGTTGCGTTATTATACACAACCAAGAAAACCGTCAAAAATAGTATCCAGGCTCCTTTTTCAAAGTGGGGGATTCTACAATGTAGAATACAAAATAGACAGTTCTTAAATTGATATTTGCTACCTTAAGAAAAGCTTTATAAAATCTTCCCAAAACAGAGGAAATGGCATTTCAGAAATTGCATATTTCAAAATTTCCCAAAGCAGGAGTCCTGCATGCATGCACTTACATACGTAAAATGTGGTCACAGTTTCTTCCACCATGCACAGGTGAAAATGGGCACTTCTAAATAGCTACCCATGCATTCTCTGAAGTGTGCACTATTGAAAAATGGTTAAAATAGGTCCTGTATCAATGGTAACTATGCTCAGTCATATAATGTTTTTGTGCAAAATGGCCAAAAGAATGAAGATTGATATTTTAAGTACAAGGTCTATCAAATGTTAGGCAAGCTATACCGTCAATATAGGTCAACTAAGATTATCTATCACAGTCTTAGAAAGATGCTTAACGTGTACTGTATAATAGTAGGCTAAAATAATTGAGCAAGTTATCTTTTCCTGGCTGAACTCACCTCGTTCCATGAAGCTCAGTGGAAAATACGCAAGTAAATTTACAAAGTTGACGCAATCGTCTTGGCAACGCAGTGAAAAGTTCTTGGACCTAGACCAAATGGAACAAAACTTGCATATATGAGCTACATGTGTAACACCTTCTTGCTTCATACTGTAGCTATAGGTCCAACAACCAAGGTATATTTTAACATATATGGTATACTGGGGGGAGGGCATTTGGTCCTGCAGGCCCGACTATAGTTAATAATAATAATAATAATAATAATAATTTAATTTGCCACCATTACAACATTTTGTAAGGAAAAAAAAAAATTATTTACAATAATTAATGATAATAGTGGCGAGGAAGCTTAAAAAAGAAACCATAAGGCTTATGTAAATTTAAGCTTCCTCATTTATCGAGGGTACAGTATATATAAATATCAAATAACATTTCAAGATTTGATAAATTATGGATAATATGAGTGTACAGTAGGTATTAATGGATAATAATTAAATATAAATTCACACCAATTATAAATAGGTACACACTTGATTCTATTAGCGCACAGTAACAAAGAATATTCGTTCATTTCGTTATAGATATTTGTATAAGAAATAAAAAAAATCGTTTTAATGTATAAGGTAATTATTTATTTTATAATAAATAATTTTTTAATTTTCTTTTAAAAGAAACAAAAGAAGTAATATTAATAATATCAATAGGTAATGAGTTAAAAAATTTTGGACCCTGAAATCTTACAGAAAATTGTCGGATATTTGTACGACAATGGAGTTCTAATGGCCATCGCACTCCTTGTATTATATGAGTGGACTTGATAATTTGATAGAAACATGTCATTAAATTTATTTGGTAAAAGACCACTGTGATAAGAGTACATAGATTTACCCAGTTGAAATAGAAAAATATCATTAACTTTAAGGATAGAACAGTTCTTAAATAAAGGTTCTGTATGTGCATCAAATTTACATTTATTTAGAATTCTAATTGCTCGCTTTTGCAGTATATTGATACGATGAAGATTATTTGGATACGTTGAAGCCCAAACAATATTACAATATTGGATATACGGGTAAACAATTGAATAGTACAAAGTGAGTAAGGATTTCTTAAGTAGATAAAAACTGGCTCTTAACATTATTCCTATGGATTTAGACATTTTACATGCTACATACGAAATGTGTGATTTCTAATATAATTCCTCATCCAATACTACCCCTAAAAAGACAGTTTCTTTCACTTGCTCAATATATTCATTATTAATGATTATTTGAAAAGTATAATTATATTTCTTTTGTCTTGGTTTAAATACAATAAATTTTGTTTTTTTTCTAAGTTTAATGAAAGCTTATTTGATTTAAGCCAGTCTGACAATTTTCTAATTTCAATATTCAAAATATTAGTTAATTGTATTGGGTCTTTATTCGAAATAAATAAGTTTGTATCATCCGCAAATAAGATAAGCTCCAATATACTTGACACATGGATTATATCATTGATATAAATTAAAAAGAGCAGCGGACCAAGGATAGAACCTTGTGGGACCCCACATTGTATTTTACTAGGACAGGAACAGTAATCATTAAATTGAACGAATTGTGTTCTATTTGAGAAATAACTCTTCATCCAGTCCAAAGATAATCCACGAATTCAGTAATGGCCAAGCTTATCAAAAAGAATATTGTGGTCTAAAGTGTCAAAGGCTTTAGATAAGTCTAAAAATACACCAACCTGCAAACTCTTTTTGATCAATTGCTAGTGATATTTTATCATAAAGATCCACCAGGGCTAAAGAAGTGGAATGGTTTTTTCTAAAACCATATTGGTTTTCAGACAAGATACTATTTTTATTTAGGTAATTTAACATCCGGTTATATATAACTCTTTCCAGAAATTTCGAGAAACTAGGAAGAATAGAAATTGGTCTATAATTTGTAAATAGTATTCTATCACCTGATTTAAACAGGTGTATAACACGAGCAATCTTCATTTCATTTGGCACAATACCATGAGTAATAGATAAGTTGATAATACGAGTTACAGGTTTAGCAATTATTTTTATAGTTTGCTTTATTATTAACATGGGAACTTTGTCATATCCATATGTTTTGTTTGATTGAAAACTTTTAGAAATCTCAATGATTTCATTTTCTGTTGCCGGGTTAAAAAATATGGAATTAGGATATTGGCCTACAAGAGAATTTAGATGAGAATTAGGAGTAGATTGTATTCTTTTAGCAAGATTTGGACCTATATTTGAGAAATAGTTACAAAATCTATTAGCAATTTCTATAGGATCAGAAATTTCAAAATATCTACTTTAAATGATGATGGGAATTTCAATTTTGACCGCTTCTTATTTATGACTTCATTAAGTGTCTTCCAAGTAGATTTAATGTTTGATTTCTCATTTTCTAATCTCTTTGTGTAATATAATGATTTGGCAATTCTCAAAGAGTGGGTTAATTTGTTTTTATACCTTTTATAAGATATCTCATTAGCAAGAGTTGGGTCATATATTGTTTATATAGTTTATTTTTCCTTTTTATGGATCTTAGCAAACCTTTTGATAACCAAGGCTTGTCAATCTTGTGATGTTTTATCTTTATTCTTCTTAAAGGAAAACAGTTGTTATAAATTTCTGTATACTTAGCTAAAAAAGTATTGTAAGAATTGTAAGGGTCATCATAGTATTTAAGTTGGGACCAGTTAATACTACCCAATTGCTCAATGAATTTATTTATATTAGTTTTGTTTTTATCTCTGAAAGTAATTTTTTCATTAGTATTATCACAATAATTCATGCCTTCACAGCTAATTGAAAACACAGGCAAGTGATCAGAAATATCTGTAAATAACAGGCCACTTTTAGATATGGAAGAAAAGTTGTGCGTAAATATGTTATCGATTAATGTTGAAGTATGAGCTGTTATTCTTGTTGGACAAGTTATAAGTGGAATAAATATATTTATACATTCCATCTAAAAATTCACAAGTCAATGTATGACTGTCATAGTTCAATAAATTTAGGTTAAAATCCCCCATTATATAATATACACTTAATGTCTGCACCCGAGGGAAATAGTTTTGTTTTCCCAAGAATCTCAATGTTTCCCTAGATGAAGTCGAGGGAAACATTGAGATTCGAGGGAAAACAAAACTATTTCCCGAGGGAAAAGACGTTAAGTGTTTTGTTATATAGCGACGAAACAAATATCAACATTGAACAACATTGACGTGACGCCAGCACAGGCGGCCGTGCGCCGCCTTGCTCTGTAAAATTATATGATTTTGTCATTGCTTCATTGGATTTGTAAACAAAATATATAACGAATTGGAAAATCTGTGGTATTTTTCAAATTATCTTGGTCATTTAGTGAGTAATTGGTGGATTTGTGCTTATTTTTGTACCGAATCTGACATTTCTCGTTGCCTTTTCCGCTCGCGCAAGCTAAACGGACAGTTAATCTCACGAGTGCAAATGAACACGCCAACACGTGCGCTTGATTAAGCGTGCGCGCTAATTAATAAGAACAAAATTAATACAATTCCTAATCCTATTAGAAATGATTTTCCCAAAATTCATCTACGTTATTGTTTTTCTATGGATGGTTGTACGTGGAATAAAAAATACGAAAGAAACCAAGATTAATTTGTTCTATGCGTCAACGAAAATGCTTGGAACACCGTATTCTTATCGACTTCGTCGTGTTAAGAGACATGTAACTTTGCTCTCGGTTCATCGTTTTGTGCACGGTGTGTTATTGTTACAGAGATCGTCTTTGCCTTTGCTGTTAATTCTTTTAGCTAACGATGTGGAATTAAATCCTGGTCCAGTTATTTCATCTGAGCATCTCGAACACTGTTCATCCGTCGTAAATAATCGAAGCAACACCATCGCGACTGAACGTAAGACATTTCGCTGTTTGAGCTGGAATACACGAAGTTTGTTTAGTTTACATAGAACATCTGATGGAGATATGATATCAAATAATTCAAGTCTTCAAGATTTTGTATACTCGGAGCAAATAGACATCGGTTTCCTCACTGAAACGTGGCTGTCCGATAAACACTTTGATGCAGAAATTTTACGTCAAGATTATAACGTTTTCCGTGTCGACCGTAAATGTAAAACCGGCGGCGGCGTACTAATAGCTACAAAAGAGTCTTCTTTTACAGAAACCAAGCAAGTATGCTTTAATCAATTAGATACTGAACTAGAAATCGTCTGCGTTGAATGCGCCACTAACAATGCACGAATCCTTGTTGTCTGCTGCTACAGAGCTCCTGACTCCTCGTCAAAATGGCTTCTCTCCTTTAAAAGTTCTTAGATTACATCATGGACACTTACGATAAAATTATAATGACTGGTGATTTCAACTTCCCGCGAATCTCGTGGTCTGAAAGCATGGTTATCCCAACCGGTGAATCCGAGAGATTTTTCTACAACACCTTATCTGACCATTACTTAAGTCAATTGATCTTCGCTCCAACAAGAGAAACTAACGTTCTTGATCTTATCATGACAAACATTCCAGACAACGTTAACAACATTGAAGTAATTGATCCAACCAATTTCAATTTGTTTTCCGACCACAAGTGCATACTCTTTGAGTTTCAAAGTACAGCAACACCTTCCCACAAGCTCAAAAGATCGGTTTACGATTACAACCGTGCGGATTTTGAAAAAATGAACCGTACTTTTGAATCGATTGAATTTGAATTTAGCGATCCCACATCGATGTCCGACATTAACGAGAACTGGAATTTATGGAGAGACACTTTCCTTGCTGTAGCTGACGAATGTATTCCAACAAAGATTGTAAAAGGAAGGTACAATCCACCATGGTTGACCGGTGAGATAAAATCTTTGATCAAAAAGAAAGAAACACTACGGCGAAAAATCCGTCGCGGAACAAATTCTGCTGCACTTGTACAAAAATACAAGAATCTCCGCCGTACATCTAAGAGATTAATCAAAGAAAGTCGGGAAAAGTTCTTTGGTTCCCTAAGCGAAGCTCTACCATCCAATCCGAAACTGTTCTGGTCATTTTTTAAAACAACCACTAAATCCAGCCATATTCCACAGCAAGTTTCCGTCGTGACAGGCAACGAAGACTCCCCACGCTTAGATTCCACTAGTCAAAAACAAGCTGCAGAAATGTTCAATGACTACTTCCACTCAGTATTTCTAACAGAAGGTGATGATATTTCAATCCCCACTACACCTGTATGTGAAGAGACCATTTCTGACATTATTTTAGACCCAAGTGAAGTATATGACGTTCTTCATTGCCTCGATCCTAGTAAAGCATCTGGTCCAGATAATATACCAATCCGCTTACTAAAAGAATGTGCGCACTCCATCACACCATCATTAACATGTCTCTTCAACAAATCCTTAAAGCAGGCCTCCCTACCATCAGAATGGAAACTGTCCAACATCATCCCGCTTCATAAAAAAGGAATCAAGAGTTTTGTTGAGAATTACAGACCAATTTCCCTCATGTGCGTTGTTGCGAAAGTTTTAGAACGTTGTGTTTACAACCGTCTGATTGGTCATATAGAGAACATGATATCCGTCGCACAGCATGGTTTTCTGAGAGGAAAGTCTTGCACAGGTCAGCTCATTTCCGTTCTTCACCGCATCAGTCAAAACCTGGATTCAGGGAAACAAACAGATATCTTGTATTTCGATGTTGCTAAAGCGTTCGATACGGTGAATCATAGCCTTCTTTTAAAGAAACTCCAACGATTTGGACTTAGGGACAATATTTTAACGTGGTTTAAAAGTTATTTATCCGGACGACAACAGCGTGTACTAGTCAATGGTGAGATTTCAGAGACACGTCCAGTTTCCTCCGGCGTTCCGCAAGGATCAATACTCGGACCACTCCTGTTTCTCATCTACATAAACGACCTTCCCGAATCAATAACCTCATCCGCTGTTGACGTTTCCTTGTTTGCCGACGACACAAAATGCATCTCAGTTATTGAATCACCGGTTGACGCCTGTGTCCTTCAAGCTGAAGCGAGAAACGTGGAGAAATGGGCTGAGTTTTGGAGGCTCAAATTCAACGCCGAAAAATGCAAAGTTCTGAGCGTTACGAGAAAACGTCATCCTCTTGTTGCTGAATACATTGTCAACGGTAAAACTTTGCAGCATGTTTCCTCCCAGAAAGACCTCGGAGTGACTGTTTGTTCAGATCTCAGATGGAACACTCATATTTACGAGCAAGTTACGAAAGCCAACCGCCTACTTGGTATGCTGAAACGTTCGACTATCAAAGTTAAAAACGTAAATACCCGACGCTGTCTCTACCTTACACTTGTGAGATCCCATCTTGCTTATGCCTCACAAGTGTGGTGTCCACAGACTATCACCATGTGTATGGAGCTCGAACGCATACAACGTAGAGCGACCAAATTCGTACTGTCTTTACCATTCCAAACAGACATGCCATATAAAACAAGACTCGCTGCGTTGAATATGCTACCTCTCTGTTACTGGCACAAATATCTTGATATCCTGTTCCTCTTCAAATGCAAATATGGCTTGGTTAAAACTGATATCCTACCCGAAGAAGTTGATACTCTGACTTCAACCATAAATCTACGCTCTTCTAATAACTCTCTTGTAAAATATAACATTCCTAAAGTAAGAACGCTATGTCACCAGAACAGTTATCTTGTACGAGTATCGCGTGTGTGGAACTGCCTACCAGATGAGCTACGGAAACCAGAACTATCATTGCAGAGCTTTAAATCACGTGTTATAAACTATTACCACTCCGCAACATTAACCGTGTTTGACCAGGAAAATCCGCAGACGTGGAAATCAGTTTGTCTGAAATGCCATAAAGCCAGGCAGCTTACTGCAACAATGAAATGTTGTTCTTAATTGAACTAGTTATTTTGGCAATTATTCAATGTAGTAGTATACTTCATTTTATCCAATGTAGAGTTGGGTTTTTCGCCATTTTCGTCTTATTTTATCGACGGATACAGAACCTATACCGTATACATTCTCGCATTTATTCTGTTTGACAATCTTGTCATTTTGTTTTCCCAAATTTCGAAATTTTTACGCTCTCTCTCTACTTCGGATAAAAAGGATTATACTATATTCTTGTTTGATATTTAAATTATAAGTTGTGAAGTTTTGTATAATGATGTTTTGTAACAGGTCACTAACATAATTGGCTCACGCTGTGTTAGTGTTCCTGAACCGTCTTCCTGTTTGCATATGTATATTTCTGTTGACGGCTGAAGTTAATAAATCTAAATCACATTCATACAACAATATTTGTATTTCATGACAAAAACTCTATAGCGTAAATGAGTTTCAAATTTTAAAAACCTACTTAAATGGTTTCAGCAGCATATCTTGTTGCCTGTTATGTATTTTTCTTCTCTTTTACATTCTTTATTTTGACACAAAGCCACAAAAACAGTAGTTTAAATAGTATAAATTTGTGCCGCCATTTTGTTTATTTATGTACGTAGCCGGTCGGGGCAGGCAACAATTTTTCACTTATTGCCCGGGCGGGATACATTGCATTTATCTAAAGCCATGTGTGACTACAAATCAGCCAATCAGGTTTGGTGTTCACACTAGCTATATAACAACAGGTTTTATTTTCATTAGAAATTTTTCCTATTATGTCATTATACTTGCTTAGAAAAGAATTGGCATTTTGATTTGGTGGTCGATAAATTATTCCAATAATGATATTTTTTATACAATGTGGTATGCAAACTTCAATAAATAAGGATTCCGCAACATCATCATCATCAAAAATTAAATCAGTACGTATTTTAGAGGTAAAGCAATCCGACAAGTACAAACCAACACCTCCACCAATTTTATTAACCCTGTGTTTTTTTGATTTGGTGGTCGATAAATTATTCCAATAATGATATTTTTTATACAATGTGGTATGCAAACTTCAATAAATAAGGATTCCGCAACATCATCATCATCAAAAATTAAATCAGTACGTATTTTAGAGGTAAAGCAATCCGACAAGTACAAACCAACACCTCCACCAATTTTATTAACCCTGTGTTTTTTTGATTTGGTGGTCGATAAATTATTCCAATAATGATATTTTTTATACAATGTGGTATGCAAACTTCAATAAATAAGGATTCCGCAACATCATCATCATCAAAAATTAAATCAGTACGTATTTTAGAGGTAAAGCAATCCGACAAGTACAAACCAACACCTCCACCAATTTTATTAACCCTGTGTTTTTTTGATTTGGTGGTCGATAAATTATTCCAATAATGATATTTTTTATACAATGTGGTATGCAAACTTCAATAAATAAGGATTCCGCAACATCATCATCATCAAAAATTAAATCAGTACGTATTTTAGAGGTAAAGCAATCCGACAAGTAAAAAACCAACACCTCCACCAATTTTATTAACCCTGTGTTTATGAAAAAAATTATATCCCTCAATATCAACAGAGTGTTCTGAGTTTTTTTTAGCCAAGTTTCAGTTATCCCAATTACTGAAAATTCAATATTCAGAGTACTTAATAAATTTGTTAAATTTGATAAATTACTTTCAAGACTGCAGATGTTTAGGTGAAATAATGAAAAACTGGGAGCGCAGGAAATCTGTGAATTTAACATTTTGTTAAACTGATCTTCAACAAAATAATCGCAGTGGTTAATGAAATTATCATAAAAATGTGAATCTGGGTCCAGATCATTAGACAGAAGGGGCGATGATGGCTTGCACCTGAAATCAATGGATTATAATTTAAACTGATTAATCTCTCATGACTGAAATTAATAGGGCCGTTTTTTAACTCAAACATTTCTAAGAAAAATTCGGAGTCGTCAAGACCATGAAAAGGCAAAGCATTCATTGGCATTGAAGACTGCATGATAAATAAAATTAATATACATTAAATTATTTAGAATTACTTAGCTTGATAGAGAGCTAGGGTGTAAAATTTGCACTGAACAACTCAAACTCCTTCATTGATTTGAATGATACATCAGCATCAGTATCAGTATCAGTTTTCTTCACATAGGACTAGTTCAGTAACTTCAGTTTATCCGCTGGATACTGTGAATTTTTATCCGCCGGGTAACGCTATCCAAGCTTCGAACAATTAACACGATTTTTATATAATTCTTTTAAAAAATAATTATCAACTAGACAAGTACTATTTATAATGAATTATGATTTACTGTTTTGCACCTCACCTTTGTTGGCTTCATCTTCAGCTGTTTGACTCATTTTATACAGCACATAGACAGTCGAATCACTAGAATGGTAAATTGTTCCCTCTGTTGGGGATTGCCTCCCTTGTTTCACCCAACACTTCACAATAATCACAAGTTAATAAATATAAAAAAAAATAGAATTTATTACAGTCACAATCTCTCATTACACGGTCACATTCTCACAGAGTTACAAGACTGACTGTTCGTGCTTATATATGCTAAGTTAAAGTTATTTTCGTAAAATACGTAATCTATAAATGTCATAATGATCTAATTGTAGCATGCAGGTTTCAAGCATGATTAAGCAAGCGTGACACAATTATGACTAAACAAATATTTATGGAATGTTCAGAAACTTCCGTATTCGAGACTTGCACTTGACGGATTGATTACGCATGACCGCAAATTGGTTACATACCCAATATATATATACGCAAGGTGCAACTTATCATGTTACAAACATGATTTACGTATTGATTGATGATTGATAAGGACAGCTAAAATTAGTTGAGAAGTTTATTTTACACCTTTTAAGCAGTTTGTCCATCAGCATCAGCACTTGAACTTTTATATCACGTACCCTACTACTTATTTCTTCACACACACCTTGGGAATTGAGTGTGTGCGTATCAATTTTTTTGCGCAAAAAGTTTAAAAAAATGGGTGTGGTAAAAAAAATGCGTGCAGAAGAATAAAGAATGAAGTCTGGTGCCTTGGTTCCGATATGCTGGATTTCTACTACTCGCTTTTGCAGCGCATTGTCGTTCCATCAAGGCTGGAAAAAGTCGGCAAAAGAGATCCTTTCTCTTACGATTTCCAAAACAACCTGATGCCTGCTAGCTGTACCTACCTTGCTTATGTGTTTATCAGCAATGCTGAATGGTTGAAAATCCCAAAGAATGATCTGGATGAAGTTAAACAGAAATGCCTAACATTTCTGGTAGAGGCAACAAAACAAGTGCAGACAAGACACTCGGAGAGTGTTTCCGTCTTTCGAGACATGGCGAGTATCTCACCAGAAAAAGACTTAAGTCCAAGATCTTACTTCACTGGCATCTCATTTTCCAAACATCACTAACAGTGTTGATGACCTAAACAAGGAAGTGCGTCTTTTGAAGATAGCTGACCTCCCAGACGATTTGAAATGAGATGCAGTGAAATTCTGGTGCCACGTAGCAAGCTATAAAGATTCAAACTGGCAGTCATGTTTTGAAAATATATCACAGCTGGCATTAATCCCCTACTCCCTTCCATACTCTAATGCAGACATAGAGTGCATCTTCTCCAAAATTAATTACTAAAGTAAAGTGAGAAACAGGATGAACAGTCCAACAATCAATGCTCTCATTCAAGTTGAAAGCACCCTGCGTTGGAGAAAGGAAGAATGCCATAACTTCACTGTCTCAAGAGAAATGATGTTGAAGTTCAATACGGCCACCATATATCTGATAAAGAAGGAAGATAATTTTCAGCCAGGCAATGCAGGCATGGAATCTGATGATGACATTTTGCCTTATTTAAGATGTAAGTTACAACTGTAAAGTTATCCGTATGTACGGATGGGCAAAAAGCCTTGCCATGGAAAAAATATTGTCAAAGAAAACTTATTGACATTTCAATTTTCAAAGAGAAGTAAGTAAAGAACAGTACTCAGTAGTGTTGTGTTGTAGTGGTTGATAAAATGCTGTATGTAATCCCCGAGCCAATGGCGCAAAGCGCTGTTTCGAGCATAAGCCCGGGGCGAGGGTACTAATTCCCCCCCCCGGCTATTTACACCCAGGGAAAGGAACACACTAGTGAAGTCTAAAGTTCCTCAATCATAAAAATTACATGTAAGTAAGCTTGGAAAATCATTTCACATAACAAATTATCAAACGTTTTTCAATTTTTAAACCTAAACATTTATAAGAATTGATTTAGTATGCGAAATCCTAAACTATAGCCAATACTGCAAGTTTGTTTGAATTGTTTTTGTATGTATTTGATTATAGACTTTGTTCTTGTTGTCCAAGTCTTTCCTATGGATTGGATATGTACGAATTAAATTTATTTAATTTCAAAGTGCAAGTATTAAATAAGACAGTTGAGCTCAGCAAAAAGCAGTTAATTTCAATTCACATTTAAAAACATTTTACGAAAACAATGGAATACGGAAATTGAGCACGAACTTGTACTAATAAATATGGCTGACTATAGGAGTACACAGGAGTCTATTAACTCTTCAAAGAAGACAAAGAGTCGTTTTGGTTGTTGAAATCTGCTGTCTATCAATGGAAATTTTATTTTTAATATAAAATATGTTGGATGTTGTGTCACGATGTATTAAAAAGCTGCACAAAATTGGACATTGGATTATTTCAAGATTAAAATCGCCGAAGGGACATTTTATAGTTTATGTGAGATTTAATTATTTACAAAGTATAAACAAAGACAGACAAAAGGCTATGCGAGAAAGACTGTACCGTTAATTGTACAAATCTACAAAAATTGTGAGTGATGTCTTGAATCTTCCAATTACAATAAATGAGAAAATCCTGATCGTGAATGAGTGTCTGTGTAGTTGTTCAACACAAGAGGGGTGCATGCCATACATGTTATATTAAATATAGTATATTATAAAATATAAATTGACATACTTTATTGATTTTATATCAATTTCATCAAAGGCTCCTAATTTATGTAAAAAATATATTTTGTATTAAATGTATTTAATAATGACATATTGTATTTACTATTTAATAATGACAAAGTGATTAATATAATTATAAATAGTTTAATTTTGCAGACACAATAGCTGGAAATGTTAGTTCTTCAAACTTTTTTGCCTTAAATTTCATGCAACATATAGCTTAATTTATAGGCTATCAATATTTTTATAGTTGACAAATTATAGTGAGCCTCCTAATGACTATTTCAATTTTGTGCTGTATACATGCATTCAATATTAAGTAATGTGTCAACATCTTGGAAACTAACTTCTGACTCTCTTACATGCAGTTGTCATTATTTTTATAAATTATAGTGCTACAATCTTTGACAATATAGATTGGGACAATCTAGTTTTCACATGCATTCGATTGTAATATACCATTCTCTGATACATATTTTCCACCCTCCCTCCCCCCACTCGTTTCAATGTTGGCGCCGCATATCCAGACATCAGATTTTTGTTGGCCCAACATTGAACTGGGGGAACGGGGGGCGCTATTCCTTTCAAATTATATGAAATTACAGCAGCTGTCCCATAGTTTCTGGCAAAGATTGTCTTGGTGGTGATCAATGGTGTTTGGAAGTTGGTAATTAAACGTTTTAGTTCTAAGTTTATACTGCCGAATAACATATATTCCAGTAGCAAAGCATATGTGGGCAAAGTTTTGGTAGTTTTAGATACTATCCATTTATTCGGGGGGGAGGGGGTATGTTTAACACTGTATATACCAATACAGGTACGTGTGCTACTAGCTATAATACTTAATAAGCACATTTATATTCACGTCTAATATCATCATCGCTATCTTCCTTGTGAAAAATCCGCGGGAATTTACTCAAAAGTTACATGCTGTCTTTGGAATGATGCAAAGGGCCATAATTACGATGAACCTGGAACCGAACTATTCAGAAATAATCTGTTTGTGAGTCGAGTAGGTTTAAATCTCATCTCACAACATATCAAACTGCGGGCAAAGACAAATAAATATGCATTGTCTTCGCCTTTTACAACTTATACTTGAGAACTGTGGCCATTTCCAAGCTAAATTTCATTTGCAGTATAAGATTTATAGCACAGTTCATAAAGCAGACAGTAATCAAATTTCATACGTCTCAAATTACACGATGCTCACTAACGATTCTCGGTCTAAAGCGCTGATTCGCGTTACTATAAATTTTACTTATCTTACATTTTATATCCATATGAGAACAAGAAATCATTTTTCCTAATTACAATCGGTTAACTTTGCATATATCCCTTTTTAAGTTCGTTTTTGAACGAAGCTCACTACAAAATTGTAAATAAATCTATATCTCATTGGCTATTTTAGGACACAAAGTGAGAATCGTTGCTAGAAAATCATTCGTATCTTAGTCAGTTCGTTACGAAAACTTGTAAAATCGTGCTATCTTGTAAAATATGTTGGACTTTAAATGCCTAGGGTGAATTTGTTTGATATTGTCTGCTATTAAGGCTTTTATGGCGGGTGAGCCCATGAAAATTTGGTGAGATTTGTGGTGAGATTCGTTTCTATATTGATCTCATTGTCACATATACACGCTTAGATAAGCTAACAAGATGGCTCAGTTGTCAATTTTCTTTAAATAGAGTCCCAATACCGTTACCATGCATGGAATTCAATGAATTGTGACTAAAATGTGGCACTACAAGCCTTTAAATCTGATTTTAAATATACGCGATTTTGCAGCCGGATTTTAGCTATTTCCTAACACACGCATACGCAAACATTGTACAACACAGTACACGAAAATTATCTGTGTGCAACGAAATTGCTAAAGGACCTGGCAGAGGTGAAGAAACTATGAAAATATAACTGCATACACAGCTTGATCATGTCTACAAGTTGAATTAAGTTTAAGAGTAATGGTATTACTTCAACAGACAATCTTTGACAATATAGATTGGGACAATCTAGTTTTCACATGCATTCGATTGTAATATACCATTCTCTGATACATATTTTCCACCCTCCCTCCCCCCACTTCAATGCTGGCGCCGCGTATCCAGACATCAGATTTTTGTTGGCCCAACATTGAACTGGGGGAACGGGGGGCGCTATTCCTTTCAAATTATATGAAATTGCAGCAGCTGTCCCATAGTTTCTGGCAAAGATTGTAGATTTCAAGGTTCAATTAGTCACCATAGGCACAGGAGGAAAGTTTTGAAATTTAAAATTGAGGAGCACTTCATGTCAACAGCACCAAATTTATAATTTGTAAACTTTTGAAGAGAAATTGGGCAAGGGAGAGGCGGTGCAAGGGTCAGGAGGTATAGGGGGAGTGTGGGTTAGCTATGTGGAAATTCTAGCCCATCCCCAATCAGGGAAGTGCAATGTACTGGGAAGAATTATGTTTTGTAATGACCATGTTTTGTAGTGCTGGTAAATGCACTGTTACAGACAATAAATTCTGCACCATTTCTGAGCCAAAAAATTCAACATTTTCATTTGTGAGCATAAGTTGAACGTACAAAACAATAATTTTACTGTTTGAAAGATTATAGCCCCCCTGTTGGGAACCTGATATTCCTTGTCAGGGACTTGATACTAGAGAGTTTAAGTTCGACTTCCAATACCAATGCCGATGTTTTCACTTCCGTTCTCATTTTGGTACCGGGAATTTTAAAGCGTTAAGTTATCACAACAGATAAAGTATAGAACACATTAATCATCACCGAAAATGTGTGTTTTTACCTGAAGTAGTAACCACCAGAAGTAGTAACAAGATTTACAAGATTTTTAATAAATAATGAAGAATATAACTTTTACATCATTACTGTCCATAAATAGCAAAAGCTAGCCGAGATGGACAGTAGTTGTTTACATTAAGCATCTTAATAAACAAAACAAAGAATAATCAAAGAATAATCAAAGAATACTATTAATATTTCATATAGAATGGGCATTGAAGTCGAAATGTGCAAAACATTTATGCTTTACCTCATATAGCTTTGATAATGACCGAGACCGAAATCCGTAATATAAGATTAAAATTAATCATCTTAAATTTTGATTTATATTTCTAAAATCAGTTTTTGGTTTTTCCAAATTGCTTCAATATAACTGAAATATCAATACATTCATCTTCAATTACTAACATTTGGAGAAGCTTGTCATGCATTTTTTTCCGAAAATTATGTTTTGAGTTTTCACGTAATTCCATAGGAATCACATTCCAAACTCTAGCTCCCGTATTTGCGAAAAATCTTTTTTGTAGATCAAAACCTGTATACTTAACATGAAAATTTTTCATTGAAGAAGATCGAGTGTTATATTCGTGTATCTTTTCAACAGAAGTAAACATCACGGAAATATTTGGAGGGACATTTGTTTTTGATATGTCGTACAT